CGCGCCCCGCTTGGATCTCCCTCCTCGCCCCGACACGAGATCTCACGGGAACTCGCGCCCCGCTCTCGCGAGAACAGCGGGCCGCGCCGCCGTAACGACGGGACTAGGCGCGCAGCCCCTACCGTAATGACCCGTCTCGGTGCGAAGCGGCTTCGTGCTCAGCCTCCCCCCGCCACCCCCAAAACCGCTCTGACCCCGCTCCCTCCGAGGACTGAGCTCCAACGCTCCTGCTCGGGCAGAGCCGTCCTGCCCCTCCGCAATGGCCGCGGGGAAAGCGGACGTTCGCCAGCGCCCTGCTCGCTCCCCTTCTGTCGCCGTGAAGTTTCTCGAAGAGCAGACCGCCATCATTTTTTTTCTTTCCCAAACATACCCAAAGCAACACCCAGCTCCCTAGTTTAGGGTCTTGGGACGCGCTCCTTCATGCACGTGGTTCGGTACGGAGATCCCCATCAGGAGGTTTCCAATCTGATAGATCGGTCAGCAGCTGCAGCGGGTTGTTCCTAACGAGAAAGATCTGGAAGCCTTAAAACAAGACAGCGCTACCAGCCCCTCTTCTAACTCATGCCACGGGCGGCCTGATAAAAGTGTTATTTAATGTGAAATTGTCACTTCCAGATAAGGCAGGGGCTAAATTTATCTTTGCAAAGAGAATTCAAACCGTAATTCTCCCTGTCTGGGATCCAAGGAACATCTTGTCATTTCACCTAGGAAACCTCACTGGTCACATATAAAACTTTGCTGAAAACGGGGGAAATTACCTTCTCGGTAGCTGTGACCCTGCCCTACTGTCACTTTCTGGATTTATGAGCACAACAAAGTAGCGATTTCTAAATATAACCCCCGTCCTTCCATAAGGCAGCAGAGCCATCAGGCTAAATATCCACAACCGGAGTCGCATATCCCGAGCGGCTGCCTCGCAGCGCGTACGTGGCGATGCAGCTCCTGGCGCGCACAAAAACATGATCTGTTTTTACACGTGCTAATAAATTGCACCAGCTTTTAAGAAAGATGAAGAAGCAATAAATTGGTTCAAGCTCCCCTTGCTGCTCCCTCTGGTCCTGACACCCGCCGGGATGGTTCGTCTCGTGCACGACGACGTTAGCAGCGCAATGATGCTCAAGCACACATTAAAACCTCATATAATCACTGTTTTATTTTCATTTCCATTACTCCAGCCCCAGAGGTTGCCTTTCAGATTATCCTTCTCTACTCCCAACCACTTTCTCCACAGGTGAGAAGCTAGATTGGATGTCTCTGCTTGTGTAATTAGGGATAAACTCGGCAGGACACCACCACGGTCTATTTTTTGTATCTGAAAAGCATGATGTACCTTGTAAGAATTGTGGCAGATTTACCCAGCGTCTTAACAGTGGGACTTTTCTTTAAACACACACCAAATTCACACTTCCAATCAATGCCTGATCACCTGTTTGATCATTTGTGGTTCTCAGCTTTCATTTCCCTTTGTACAGTCTTGCCAAATAATAAGATTCAGCAGACTCCTTCCGGCTGGCCTGAGGCTTTATAGTTCTCACATCTTGGAACTGCTCCTTCAGTCTGTTCTGCAGAAGACGGGACTCACGTCCATCCCAAAATTTACAGAGCATCGTTCCTTTTGGCTTTAAAATACTTTCAGACAGATTCAAAAGGCCTAAACACAGATTGATCAGCTTCTGATGATCCAGCTCCTTAATGCCCGTTGCGTTAGGCGCCATGTCGCTCAAGATAACGTCCACCTTCTCTGCAGGAAGCAGACTCTGAATTGTCCTCAGCGTGCCTGGGTCCGCAATGTCAGCCTGCGACAGGAAGACCGCTCCCTCCAGAGGAGAAATCCGCAGCAGGTCAACGCCAAGGACGAAGCCGGTGGGGACAGCAGGATCTAGATTATCAGAATGAACGACACACTGAACGCTCATAATGGTTGCAAACAACTTGCATACGCACGAGCTCCACGTTGGTCAATCAACAAAAAATTATCACCTTCTACGCCTAGTCTTGTCCTGAGCTTGCTGCCTGCGGCACGAGCTCCACGTTGGTCAATCAACAAAAAATTATCACCTTCTACGCCTGGTCTTCTTGTCCTGAGCTTGCTGCCTGCATCTAGATGGATGGTTTGCTACAAGCTAACCCATTCAAGACATGGAAACTCAATTACTTTGGATAAACTGGAGGTATTTTTCTTGGTTTTCTCCTGTTATTTCAAGGCTGACAGTCCAGAAATTCTGGACAATAGTACAGATGATAACACCTTATCTTGTCCACATTAATGGCATGAAACACATAAACCTTACGTAGCGGTTAGTGCCATTTTTCATGAAAAGTAATAAAGATGCAGAAAAGCCAAGTTACCTGCTGGAGGCTACACGACTTTCAGAACCGGATGAAGGGATCCTCGCCACAACACATTAAATCACAACAGTCTGTTACACCAACAGTAGCACCTCCTGGTACGCTTTTATTCCCCAGATATCATCTCTCCAGACCGTATGAAGATTTTCCACTGTCACGCAGACACGCACCTTCACATTCTCTCAGTGACTCTGGCATTTGCCTGTACCCACGTCCCTTCCCCAAGCTACCACCATCACGGATGAGTTTTCTCACATGCTTTGAGTATTGTCCTGCCAAAAACGTGCACTTACCAGCACCTAAGGCGTTGACCCTCTCTACAGCAACCTGGCTCCAAGCACCAGGTGCGGCTCCACAGTCAAGTACTGAAAATCCTGGACGAAGAATACGAAGCTTGTCGTCGATCTCCAGTAACTTGAAGGCACTTCGGCAACGGTAATTCTGTCGCTTCGCCGCCTTGACACAGGGATCCTTCAAGTGCCGCTCCAGCCACCGGTGCTCGGTTCCTGTTTTCTTCCGAAACCTCGCCGTGGTGTGGAGACATTTACTCGCCAGGCTCCACCAGCTGCCCGGGTAGAAAGGGGAGTTAACCAGCTGGTGTTATCATCCCCACGGACGTCAGAATCCCCCACAGCAATTTACCCGAACCTCAACTACCGCCCTGCACATTTATCACCAGGGTCACCAAAAGCCGCCCAATTTGAGAGTCTCGGTTCTCTGGGCCAACAGGGATGGGTTTTGGATGGACGCCGCTCAGGTACCCCCTGAGCGAGGGCAAGGGAGGGTCTCGCTCCCTGAAAGCTCTTCGCTTCTGCTCTGGCGCTGACATTTGGGGTCGCGGGGACAGGACCCGCCGACTGACCCCAGCGAGGGGC